GGTAAAAATCCATTTAAACATATTGAAATTTCTATCTGACCACCACACAACCACTCAGAATATGAAGAATATCAAAAACTTTAGGAGTCGGCTGTCCACGAAAGTCCTTAAGATAGCAGCATGATAACACTCTCAATCAGCTGAATGAATGACTCAAAACTCACTCATTAAGTGTCTTACTGGTAGTTCAGTTGAGAAGTTTGTTGAAAAGTATGCATTTTTTCTTTCAACATTTCTTATTTGTATATTCATAAATGCATTTAAAACATTAATTAAACATTATTTATTGTAGTTGTAATTATTGTTGTTTGCAGTGTAAATTATTTAATCTGACTGGTAGCAGCCCTATAGTGTATGTTGAATTTATTGATAAATTGTAATAATTTGACATGAAAGATGATGCATACATCTAAAAAGGTTAAAAAATGGACCTTTGTAAAGGTAAATATGCAGATTTAAGTATATAAAAGTTGATAGAACACTGATGAAAATATTGCTTCAGAATAAATTGTTTACTCCACGAAAAATTCCAGCGATGCAGTTATTTTGCAGGGATATTTTGTATGGAATATTGTCTGCTGACATGAAACGTTCACTGTATATCGTAGTAATAAATATAATTTATTACAGCAATGATGTTTTGTTTTCTTTTTAATTTATACACATTAAATATTACATATGTATTTTATAAAATGTGTATTTCCATTACAGGTTTAGATCTTAAATTTCATATAAGGTGGTATTAAAAAGGTCTTAAAAAGTCTTCAATTTAACTTGTTAATGTCTGCAGAAACCCTGATGTATAGCATATTTTTCTTTAACCTTCCAGCAAACTTTTAAACTCTTTAACTGATAGAATTAATCAAAATTCTTACTTCTGGTTAATGGTTAAATGATCAATGTCAATTAAATTGTTAAATCTTAAATAGTAATATCCGTTACATCCAATGTTTGTGCGCGCTATGCATTTTTATCCATATTACAATCTTGTTAGCTTGGCGTTTTGAGTCAGTCAGTCATGATCTTCAATGTCATTTAGCGTCCTATTAGACAGCAGGCAGCTTCTGTTCCAGGCAGTGTTTAGAACAGAATTCATCTCAAATGAACCTTTATCTTTTCTCTCTCTCTTCCTGCTTAACAGGGTCTTCACAGTGCCAGTATACCTGGAATCCTCTCTCTGGATCTCTGCCCAACAGACACCAACAAAGTCCTCACCGGTACCATTACAACACGATTACACAAACACAATTTGATCACAAGTCATCGGGTTCACATAATTCGAACATGTGTCTCCTGTGGTCAGATATACATCATGTACTATCCCTTGTGTTACTGCATGTTGATGGCACACAAAAACAGACATAGACATATACACTGCCACAACCATAGTTTTTTGACATGCTCTCCCCAGGTGGAGCGGATAAGAACGTGGTGGTGTTCGACCGTCGGGAGGAGCAGATTGTTGCCACCCTCAAAGGGCACACCAAAAAGGTCTCGTCTGTCATCTACCACCCTGCTCAGGTAGGCCATCGCTCCCGCTCTTCATTCATAAACTCATTTCTGGTTAGTCTTCAGCTCTCACATGCATCTTCACATGTTCTCTGTCAGTCGGTGGTGTTCTCAGCGTCTCCAGACAGCACTATCCGTGTGTGGTCGGTTAGCGGGGGCAACTGCGTGCAGGTGATCAGGGCCCACGAGGCCAGTGTTACCGGCCTCTCTCTGCACGCTACCGGAGACTACTTACTGAGCTCCTCTGAGGACCAGGTAACACACAGGCTGATGGTTGAGGAACAGTACACAAGCAACTAGGGATGTAACGATATTATCAATGTCGTGATATCGCAATAGCAAAACTGTCTTGACATTATTGTGGTCACATGACGATGAAACGGACAAAAAATGTAGTTTTAAAAAATATATTTCAACTTCCTATTCTAACGTAAAAGGTCTTAAAGTTGTGTTTTTGGTCATTATGCTTTGGCACAATATCTGTCAAACGAACTAAAACCGAAAGCACAATATGGCTTAATCCCTTCATCTGTTTTCGCTGCGTGTTTCACTTTCGCTGCGTGCACACTTCGTTCATGCGATCAGCTCAGAACGGCTCCGTTCACACTGAATGAATGCAGTCAACTCGTTTATTGCGCGTGCTGATTCTACCTACTGTAGTGTAAAGCTTAAATAATATACCTATGAAATATTCATTTTCATTTATTTTACAGTGCAATTGTTTTACAATATATGGCTATTACTGTCGTTGTTGTTATTTTTATTATTATATTCTAATTTGTTTGGCTTCCTAAAAGACCAGTGTGAATGTAATTTAGATTGAGACAATATATCACAAATAAAAAAGAGCATTGAGTCCCCTTTAAAAAATTAGGTACAAGGCGATTCACTGACTTTTTTCTGACTTAGGTTTTCTTAGTTAAGGACACGGGTTAGAGCTCTTAATTTTGAACTCTCAAAGTGCATTGGATAGAATAATTTTACTTTAAAATGTACAAAATTGTAATTTTTTTTCCCGATTCTTTAAAAAAAAAATATCGTATCATGGACGATAATCGTATCGTATCGTATTGTGAGATTTTGATATTGTTACATCCCTACAAGCAACGCATAACCATGATGTTAGTAAATTACATTTTGCTCTTATAATTAATAGAAGTTGTTTTGTGGTTTGCAGTTTCACTACTTTTCTGAAAATAACTTTTCAAAACCTTTTTTTAATTTTCTTTTATTAAAGCAGTTTTCTACCTCTGTCATAATGTAATGCATTAAAACGTGTTGTGTTGTAGTACTGGGCCTTCTCGGATATCCAAACTGGACGCGTCCTGACTAAAGTGACCGATGAGACCGCTGGATGTGGTTAGTAATCCTCTCTGTCGGCTAGGGCTGGCCAGTGTATCAGATATTAAGAAAATGTTCATTATTGTGTTGGCATTATTAATATTTTTGCAAGTTTCTCCAGAAAATTATTTGGGAGTACTGATGTGAATTTTTAAGGTTTCTAAATTTGGCTAAACTGCTGAAAATCCTGTTGCACACAATCTACTACATGTCTTTGGTTGCCTGATTGGTAGTTTATTATACTTTTGTAGCAAGTTGAAAGACTGTTTAGTAAAATTCTAACACCATGTGGTATGTCTTTTTGCTGTGAAATACCTCCAAGAACATCTTTTATAGGAATATTTTGACCCAGGCATTTACAGGACTGAAGCAATTTAGGTTTGCTTTATTATCCATAAATCATTTTTAGAAGCATTAGGTTAAATAGTATCAAATGATACATCAGGCTTTTAAAGAACGTTTATTTGTCCGTCTCTCGATCACCATTTTGTTTTGCTCACCTCATCAAAAACTAGAGCTTTGATCATAAATCTGACCATGTAAGTTTCTTACTAAGACTGTTGAAATCATAGTAGAAATATGTAAAGTAATTATGAAAATAAATTTTTTTGAGAGATAGAGGGTGACCGGTTACATATGCATTTTATGTAAGTAATGTAAGCCTTTTTATACTATTATAAAATAGTAAAAAAATAAATAAAAAAAATGCAGCATCTGCACCAAATTGCTGATAATCAGACCAACTGCAAGATGTGCTTTTATATATTCACTGTAACCCTCAAAATAAATGCAGTAAATGGTTTATTTCACTAATACAGTTTGCAAAAAGAAAATGTGATGTCAATTATGAATACAAAAGCAGCACTACACATATACAAAATGACACTGAAAAAATATACATCTTTGTTTTGATATCAATAACTTACAGCATTCAAAGAAAAAGAATAAAAACTAAAGTTACATTCAGAATATAACTGAATTTTGTCATCAGTGCTTTACAGCCTTTACAAACGATGACCAAGTCTTGCATATACAGTGTTAGGCTTACTTCTAAATTCTTTGACTATTACATGCCCTGTAACTATTACAAAACAATATTTACATTAGAGAACCGGCATAAAAACAACAACAACCAGCCAGCATTGGGGAAATCCTGCAGGCTGTGAATGGCTGTGGCAATGGATTTGGTGGTTTTTCTGAGAGAAAAGACTTGTTTAGGAGATTTTTGTGCTTCAGAGGATATAAACAGCTACTTCCTAAAAAGGAGGCAGACTCATTTCTCCTAACATGCACTGCAGCAGTTCACAGAGCTCAATAATTCACCTTCTTGCAAAAGGATAACAAAAAAAAAAAATCTTATAATTGGTCTGCCCATATGAAGATTCGTGCTCTTTTTTTATTATTATAAAAAGTTTTTGTTTTTTATGGGCATAGCCTGTTCCAGCCAGACCTGGTTGAATAAAAAAAGATGCTGTTATAAGATGTTTTGACCAATGTCACTAGTGTTCCTGAGGCTTGTATGGACCCCAAAACGATATGGCACCAGAAATGAACCGTTCTTTGCTGTTATGGCACAGGGTTGGCATATTGCTGACGTGTGTGGGCAGCACCTCCGTTAGCAGGTGTGTCTAAGCCCAGCGAGCGTCTATAAGCCGCTGACAGTCTGTAGAGCACCTCAGCAGGTGGACACGACTGGGCATCGGCTTTCTGAGTCAACAGCATCTCAAACAGGGAGCTCACTTCTGAAATCAGAGCTCTGCCACCCAGAGGGGCTTTCTCTGGGGTTTTACCAAACGTAGAGAAGGAAGAGGAATCATCAGGACTCGCCATGGGACAGTGGGTATCAGGGGAGGGTGGCCCATCCGGGACAAACAGGTTTTCATGGTAGTCGGTTGTCAGAGGAAGAGAAAGACGAGCCATCCATGCCGGATCGGGAATGTCTGAGAACACATCATCTACACAAAAAGAGGAAGGAAATATGTAAAACTGTATGTAAAACTATGCATTTAAATATGTAAATAAATAAGCATTTGCAAAAGTGCTACAAATAAATATATTCTGGCCATAACTATATAATAAAATATTTACAAACATCTGAAAAAAGGCTGCAAAACCTGTCTGTCTGAATCTTCACTTGTTTACTTGTTTGAGTTTGTATGGATGAAGGAATACCGAGAGGGGGTGTGCATTTATCTTTAGTTTCCTTCGCCTGACATTTCATGGACATCTGCTGAGTTTGAACACAGATGAGTATTGCCAGTACAACACAGCATGCCCTAAAACGACACCCTTAGCCACAGTTTTTAGGGCAAAGGAAGTGATACAGTATAACAATAAACAAGGAAATTACCTTCATTGAGCCAAAAAAAATTCCAGAAATACTTGGTTAAGTGAATAAGCTTAAATTCTGTTATAACTTGATTTTTCTTTCACATGTTATCTGTGTTTGTGTGTGAAGCAGCCTCTTAAAGGGGTCATATGATGCGATTTAAATTTTTCCTTTCTCTTTGGAGTGTTTCAAGCTCTTGGTGCATAAAGAAGATCTGTAAAGTTGCAAAGACTAAAGTCTCAAATCCAAAGAGATATTCTTTATAAAAGTTAAGAGTCAGCCACGCCTACCTAAAACGGCTCGTTCTAACACGCCCCCACATATCTACCTCACTATGTGGGAAGATTTGCATAACGCCACCCAAATGTTTACGCAAAGAAAGAAGGCGTAACTTTTATTCTCGCTGTAGTATTGTTGCCGCCGCCGCCATGTCGTGAAGACGCTGTGTGCTTCGTAGTGAAAGCAAAACTACTTTGTTTGGTCTTCCAAAAGAGGACACAACTAGAAATCAGTGGTTAAGTTGTATTTACAACACTACTGTTCCAGAACAGTTCAAACCAAATATTCAGATGTGTGCAGGGCATTTTACGGAGGACAGTCTCCTGATCCTGGGAGAGTAGACTACAATGCCGGCTGTTCTGACTCACAGCCTGTAAGTACGTTTTTTCATATTTAAAGAATTTGCCACTGATGATTCAAACGCGAGTTTTGAGCAGTGTAGAGCAGCGCTTGTAGTTTGTCATTTCGCCGATCACAAATGGGTTTTATGTTTACGTGGCGTGATGCAATGCAACGACACTATAAATCATTATAATCCGTAATTATGTCCCCACTGGATGCAACAAATGCCTCGTTTATAATGGGTTTTATTGGTTTTGTCTCGTCGCGCCGGGACACGGCATCACAGTATGGTGAGGGGCGTAACATTTGGTATTCGGCCAATCACAACGCACTCAATAGCTGGCCAATCACAGCATACCTCGCTTTTTCAGACCGATGAGCTTTGTAAAAATCGATGCGCTTCAGAAAGGCGGGGCATAGAGGAGAAACAATAATGTACAGTATGTGGAAAATAATGTTTTTTTAACCTTAAATCGCATAAACACATTGCATTATACCAAATACACAAAATAATGTTCTTTTTGACCCCTTTAAAAATAAAGACATCTTCCATGAAAAACCTTTAACATCCATGCAACCTTTCCATTGCACAAACAATTCTTCAAATTATTAAAATGTTCTTCACATTGAGAGAAAAAAAAACCTCTTAGTAACTAGATTCACTGTAGAAGAACTTACATCTAGTCAAATCATCAGCACACACTCACAGCACAAACACACGCATATATACAACAAATATAGCTCCATATAGCACATCTTTATATGACTCGTTGCATTTTAATCATTTGTGTTTAGCATTGTTTTTACTCTGCCGAATCACAGCATACCTCGCTTTTTCAGACCGATGAGCTTTGTAAAAATCGATGCGCTTCAGAAAGGCGGGGCATAGAGGAGAAACAATAATGTACAGTATGTGGAAAATAATGTTTTTTTAACCTTAAATCGCATAAACACATTGCATTATACCAAAGACACAAAATAATGTTCTTTTTGACCCCTTTAAAAATAAAGACATCTTCCATGAAAAACCTTTAACATCCATGCAACCTTTCCATTGCACAAACAATTCTTCAAATTATTAAAATGTTCTTCACATTGAGAGAAAAAAAAGCTTTTTAAGAACTGTTCACTGAAAGGTTCTTCACAAAAATGGTTCCTTTATGCGAAAAAAAAAACTCTTAGTAACTAGATTCACTGTAGAAGAACTTACATCTAGTCAAATCATCAGCACACACTCACAGCACAAACACACGCATATATACAACAAATATAGCTCCATATAGCACATCTTTATATGATTCGTTGCATTTTATCATTTGTGTTTAGCATTGTTTTTACTCTGCCATGCATTTTTGGTCTTCTAATGTATCACCGCAGGCTACGTCACTCACTAGCTTCACATAACACAAGCTCACTCTCAATTTGCTGCAGTGGCTAAAGCAGAAATATTTGTTTTTGAATAAGCGAGGAGAAGCCAGAATGTGATGGTGGAGAATAGAAAACATCAGAGAGACCCTGAAGCTCTGACACAACCACACATGAATCCTCAAACATAGTGAGGCATGCATGACAGACAACCTCCATGAAACCTTTCTTAAGTGTTTTTTTGTGTCTTGTCTGTGGATCAGAGATTTCAAGGTCTTAATTAAAGGTGGAGGAGAAACAAAAGGGCTCGGCTTGTACAGACGCTTTTGGAGAGAGTGTGTGAGTAAAGATGTGAAATCCAGCCAGCGCTGATCAAACGAACCCACACTGGCCACATCAGAGAGCTCAGACAGAACCTCCAAACCTCATTTTCTTGACTTCCTCTCTCCACAGCCCTTTCAAATCCGGCCTATCACTAAATTCCCCCCCTTTGCATTATTATCAGTTAACAATTATATGCCCCATCATACTTCTTGCTTCTTTCTAACTTTTATTCCACAAATCTCCTTCTTACAGCCTCTCAATTAATGATGGAGGAAATGGTGGCAGTGCCTTTCAATCAGCAATTTCTCTAAAGCAGTTAAACCCATTAACCCACAGACATGGTAAAAATGCCATAAGGAATCCAACCACATCCAAACAACCAAAGGCAGACTCAGACACATTACA